TACTCGCTTGTCTGCTGGGAACATTATTTGCTTCGCCTCTTCGCGTTTCTCGACAGGCGCTCGGCAAAGAGACCTTCACCAAAATCAGTGAATCAATCTCCAAAGTGGAGTTCTCTAAAATATCTAGCAAATTACCTAACTTGCCGCAAAACAAAAATGTTAAAAAACTGTAATCAACTTGTATGATTTTGATTATTTCTTTCAACATTTTTTATGTTAATAAGAATTATAGTAAATTACATAGTACTTTTATTTTATACCCTTTTTTTAAGGCGGCTTTGTGCCGCCCACTCGTTTCCCTAACATATTATGGGTCAGGGACCTGGGGATCAGGTGTATAATATTTCTTTATTCATTCATATGTTAAAACTTAAATTTACATTACATATTTCAAAATATCTAATCCTAATTTAGAACAATAAATTAAAAAAAAACACAATCACAATTAAAATACAATTAAAACACAATTAAAACTATTAAACCTACATATGTACAATAAAATTCAATTGTACTTAATTACAATAAAATCAATAAAACCCAAAATCCAATAAACTTATGATGTAAATTCAAACTTAAAAACAATAGAATAAAAAGAGACTAGATTAAAAAGGTTAAATAAAGTTTAAAAAATAAATACAATTAAAACTAAACCCTGTTTTTCTTGATGGCTTTTTAACATGTTAGTGCCTTTATAAGAGTAATTGTTACGTTTAAAATTAAACATGAATTTACCTTTATACCACGATAGTCAACCATGTACCCGCATCAGAAATTACTATGTTATACACACAACAATACATTTGAACATCATTATAAGTTATTTGTCCTCTATGAGTAACAATGAAAATAATTGTACCGCTTAGTAAAAGCTAGAAACCCGGATTACTAAGGAATATCAATAAACAAGAGATTTCGGTGTCTTAAATTCTCATTTATCAAGAATAGACAATATCTTATTTTTAGGCATATCTCTTAATGTAATCACCTTAGTGAGAAAAAATAAAAATTAGGTAGTTGTAAAAGAATGGGCTATAATGATCTTCCTGGGGATGTATGTTTCCCGTTTCCTTCCACACGATGTGCTATTGCCGTACCGATAGACTCCATTTCCACCAATAGTTACATTTTCCAGAACAGTTCCAGCCAACTAGGCTTCCTCTAAACCTCTGCAATTTGCCCTAATGATCTCCGAATTCGAAATAAGATGGCATTTTAAGAAGAAGAAAGCTATTTTTTATTTAGTTTTATTCCAATTCCAGTACAACTTTTTACGACATTTTTAACTAAAGAAATAAACTATTTCCGTATGAAGTTACGGAAATAGTTTTAATTAATAGGTTATAAAATGTAGGAAGAGGATTTAGTATAAATAGCTGCTATGTATTCAATGTTCGTCACTACACTGAAATATATCTTTTGAAACAACATTAAGAATATTCAACAAAGATGCAGTCCTCACTAGTAAGTAATTCATGAAAATTATTCTTACCTTTTGCTTTGTCAAGTCAAAAGTCTAAATTATCGAATACTAACTTTTGCCCGCAACTATGACCGCGTGGAGATTTTTAAAGTGAGTAGCCTGTGTTCTAGACTATCCTCAACATCTACATATACCAAATTTCATCGAAATCCGTTCAGCTATTTAGGCTACAAACTCTAAGAAACATCCATCTATCTAAACTTTCGCATTTATAATATTAGTATGATAATATGAGTGTAGAACGACCAGTGAAAAAAAAAGTTTTTTTTTTCACTGAGTTTTTTTTTCACTGGTCATTAAAACACGATACCAAAGTCTCACCACAATCTGTTTAATAGTTTAGAAACAAATAGAAGATCAAGATAAATATTTTTTTTACAGTGAGAATAAATTAATACATACATATACTTTTTCATTGTAAATGAAATTAGAACTTATATATCTACATCTTTAAATATTTTAGATTATCTTGTAACTCATTTAATTTTGTAAAAATTAATAACATTCCATTGATTTTTAGGTTATGTTGGCAGTATTTATGCTCGCAATTTGCATTATCAATTCCGCCACAGCCGATGACGTATCCCAGAATGAGGCGACCAAACTTGGAGACGAAGGAAAAGAAATACTACCTGGTGGTAGCTCATTCAACATTCTTGAGTTCTTCGAACTAATTAAAACTAAAACTAAACCACTTGGCGGGCTCTTTGTTAAGACAAAAGAATAATTGTATCGAAATCATTTACTGACTTGTCTCTTTCGATGTTGTGTAAAGAAATAATGTTTTGTAATTAAACTAAATTAAGTTAATTAAAAAACAACTATTTTTATTTACAATCCCTAAAATTATGTATTTATAATATCTATTACATCTACTTTTCTTGTTCGAAGAGGTACAATGTATGTCAAATATGTGCATATCAAACAAATTTGATCATATGAAATCGTTGGAAAAAAATTATTTAACCTTTTTATGCAGATATCGATTAGAAATAAATCAAATTTTTAAACATCTGTTTATTGCAGTTATAAAAACTACTTATTTTTTTCGATATCATGCATAACATCGTACCAGTTACGAGTTCACAATAATTGATAATGAGTATACTTAGTACTAATATAAAACATTACCAAATAAGTTAAAAAAAATCGTTATTTTAAAAACAAAATTTTCTGATAAAAAAAACAAGTTTTCTACTTAAGAAAACAAGAGTATTTTGACATTAATTTATTCCAAAATACTTCAAATGTTATCAATACAAATACTATAGTTCAACTACAATAAGAAATAGTATGAATTATCAGTCCTTGACAAATTATCTGTTTAATTAATATGCTAATTTTTAGAATATCATATAACTAGTTATCTATCATTCAAAGGCATTCCTATAAATATATAAGACCAGTAATGTTGTAACATAGACAAGTACATCGTACGTTTCAAAACTGAAATAATATAAATCCTTGTTAAAATAAAAAATAATGGTAAGTTTATTTAAATACGCTTTAGCTGTATTAACTCATTTTTTTAACATTAGAATTTTAGGTTATGCTAGAGGGGGAAACTACAACTATTATGGTCTAATTTAAAGGAGTTTTTACATCTTTTATACATTTTTCTATTCTATAAAGTTGATGTTCTCCTACATTTAGGTAACGCATCTGCAATTGCGGATGCCTTGGGCAGCGGTCGCTTCGCCATTTTGGCGGATTCTAGTGGCCGCTTGCTCGTTTGCCACCTTATTTTATAAAAAAAAATCTCCTGATCTCATAAATGTTAGTTGCCACTTAATGTGGTGGGAAGTAAATTCTTTATCAATTAAAAGTTATATGTAACTTTCTTCCACAGATGTCAACTACTGGAATCATATTTGTGATATGTTGTATTGTACTCTTGTTTGCTACAAATGGATCAGCGGTGAGACGTAGCGAGGGTAGCGGTGCTGGGCTTAGTAATGTTAATGCAGCTGAAGGCAGTGGTTTATCCAGTCTAGTTGCCAATGCAGTGGAAGGTAGTGGCCTGTCCAGTTTGGGTCCATTTGATTTTGAAGGTAGCGGTCTATCCAGTCTCGGCATCTTTGAAAGCAGCGATGCGTTCAGGTTGAGTGGTTTTGAAAATCAAACTACAGCCGTTACTAAACCAAACATATTAAAACTAGATTTTAATTCGCTATTAGAACGATTACTTGGTATACTATCTAGTAATTAAATGATTTTATGACTTTGTATTTGAAATAAACAATATTACTTTAAGATACTTTCTTTTTATTTCAAACTAAATGGTATATTTATCCACCGATCCATTAAAGTAGTTTGTAATGAATCCTTTTTTCTATCTGTTGTCTTCTTAAAAAAAATCTTTCTACTCGTCTTAACTTATAACTTAACTCTATCTTACTTATATTATAAATGGGAAAGTTTTGATTTTTTTTATAACATAAGGTGGCAAACGAGCAAGCGGCCGCCTGTATCCACCGAATTGGAAAGCGACCGCTGCCTATAAACATCCGCAATTGCAGATGCGTTGCTTACCCTTAATTCACGGAGGACTCCTCCTAAAAAAATCTAAACTTTCCCAACTGGGAAAGGGGGAAACTGGGTCTCCACCCACAAAAAGACTTTTCCCCTTCCTATGCGTCTCCTCCACCGTCAAATCCACTTTTCCTTCCCATCCTTTCCTCTTAAGAAGAGGGTGGAAAGGGAAAGGGACTAAAATTAGGCGTCCGGCACCACACTCAGCAGACGAAACGCGGAATTGCTTCCACTTCACGCCTGTGGTGTGGTCGTGGTATTACACCGGGCGAGCCGGCCCATTCGTGCGAAGATGTTAAAACGGGCTCTACCACTGTTGAATTGTTAGATGGATGGATGTTTGTATGTTGTATAAACAGATGTATGGATCTCTTTGAAATTTGACATAGATGTAGAGGGTAGTCTGGAAGAACACATGGACTACTTACTTTTGTTTTTTTTTAATTCCACGTGGATGGCGTCGCGGGCAAAGTCTTCTTTAGTTATATAGTAAGTAATCGATTTAATGCAAGATATCGTGTGGACTTATTGTCTTGAATACTGACGATTACAATACAACGGCTGCCTAACAATTAGAACTCTATAGATTTAAAAAAAACTTAGATTGAAAAATAAAGTAGTCTTCATCTTTTATTGAAATAGTTAATTTTACATAAGTAAAGCGTTTGGCTTAAAGAGTTGGGTTATGTTAACTACTACTGGGTGTTAACCCAGCTATAAAATTGTCATAGTTCGATGAACGTTAAATTAACTGCTACCATATCCTTAAACAAAAGTCTTCACCTACTTAACCTACGCTGCTAAATTTATTACGCTGTTAGAATAGACATAAAACCTAAATTAGTGATTAAGGAAATTGTTTAATTTGAACTATAAAAGCTTATCACATTGCAGTAAACACAAACTTTTGTATAAATACATGAAATAGCCGTGATCCTACATCATTACTGAAATATCTTAACTAGAAAACACATCAAGGAACAACAAGATGGCATCTACAATGGTAAGATATCTTGTAATCAAATATTATTCAACTATCAGAAAATTGACAAAAAAAAAACTGGATTTTCAAAATCGTTCCAACAAGGCCGTAGATGCGGTAACACACACAAACTTCACTTCTTTTCACTTCTTTTGGGAAGTTGGTTAAAAACTGTATATTCTACCCATTTTGCGTTCTAATGCATTGTTGCATGGTTTATGGAATCTTGACAAAGGAACGATTCAATAATTCTCAATCTCCATTTCCTTCACTAATATAGTAATTGTTAATTTTCAGGTTAAATTTGCAGTACTCCTATTCGCTGTATGTGTAATCGGCTCATTGAATGCCGCTGCGACAGGCACGAGGAATATTCGAGAAGTTGAAGAGGTTAAGGACTCAGAGGCCGATGCGATAAAGCCAAGAGGTGCCGGCGCCGGCCCAATCGATATCGCCGAGCTCTTCAAGGATTTTAAATCTAAAGCAGATTTCGCGAAGATAATCCGCGAAGTTATATTGGTATTTAAAGGTGGCGATAGCCCATTGAAACTGTAATTTCCACAACATTCTAAAAGAACTGAAATGTATAAACTAAAATACAATAAAGATAATTCATAGCATTTATTCTTTTCCATTCTTAATCTTTAACCAACTGGAATAGTTAAAAAGTTTTCGCTTTTTTATTCCTACTGGTCTCGATAGATCCGAAAAGTAATAAGAAAAGGCAAAATATAACATTAATTTTAATTTGAATACCAATCAATATTTGAATCCGTATTCACAAAGATAATGTTTCAAGGTGCGTGCATCGACTTCACGCGGTGTAAAGTAACATAACACATGAAAAGCCCTAGAAAATGATAACTTAAACTAATCTAATACATAATCGTCTATTGAATACTCAACAGCAGTGATTTTCATAAAAAATGTTCTTTCATCACACAATGCAATGTAATAATGGAAACATAAATTCACATGGGATATGAATCTATGGATTCGAACTAAGGACCTGTACATTTCCAAGTCCAGAACTTTTACTAGTTCTTAATTTAAAACACCTCGTTGAAAAATCGAATGACACCCTAAATGTTCGAGTAGTTAGGGCTACATACTGTCACCGTAGACTTGGATAATAGACGTGCTCGCTTACATTAGCTTCTTGATTTTTTACATTTAATAAAAAAAATGGTTACCAAAACTTGTATTTGACTTACGATACTTTGTAAAGTTCGAGAGATAAGTAGTAGAGAAAGTGACAATCAATAGTTGCTTTATTAACATAGGTTTCGCCCGTAAAACAAAAGAAAGTAGATTATGTGTTCTTTTAGACATTCTCTACATTTACGGTTACGACTCTTACAAAAAGGGCTATGTTACTTACAATATATTATACTTAAGGATAAAAGAATTTTCTTTCTTTCTTATTAGTTAATTGACTGACTTCCCAAAAGAAGGAGGTACTCAAGTCGTCTGTATGTTTTTTGTATCTGAAGATTGTGGTCAGGGTTACTTCGGCTGAGGATGCATCTTTTATGTTTTTCATACTTAAAATAAAAAAAAGATGATAAACCAAACTCCATGTTATCCCACACAACAAAATATAACAAACGGTAAAAAAAAAAATGCTTTGAATATGTGTCTTATTTATTAACTAGCTGTTCCCGTGGGGCTTCATCTGCATGACATTATAAAATCTTTATTTTATTGTTTACATTTGTGAAATGTCAAAATTCAAATGCATAAATGACAGCCTTGGTTCCTTGATGTTGGCAGCAACTTATGGTCTCTTTTCCACATTAGAATTCTTATCCAAAATATTTACCCCTTAAGTTTAATGGCGTAAAAACATATAGTCTAAAGCGTGACGTAAGTGTAGGGCTTTTTATTAAAAAAAGGATTATTCAAAAATATGCTGTAATTGCTGAGATCTTAGACAACAAAGAAGTGTGTGTTTACGCTTTATTAAAATAGTATAAATATAAATAGATTGATAAATTTAACTGTTTACATGGAACTATTTTATTTCTTTAATTTTAAGTTACCAGGAGGAGGAAAATGTTAAGAATATGTTAAAAATGAAAATATTCGAAGTTTCAATTAGTTCATACTTTATTCTTTAAGTGGTAGTCAATATTTTACGTTATCAAATCAAGGATCAAAAATATCTTTCAATACATTATAAAACATTTGGAATGGATCATAGTCCTTGAAGTCTTCGACTTTTTCACTCCCTTCATTGTTTGTAACGTTTTCTTGAGGTGCTGTGTTGGAGCCGTCTTTTTCTAATATTGCCTCTTCGCCTTCACGTTTTGTTCTATTATGTGCACAGTTTATACAGCTGATGAAGTAAACGATCAGGAACATGTTGATTAACAGTACCTGGAAATTAAGAATAAACTAAAATTTATTCTCCAAGATACTATAATATAATATTATAAATTCGAAGTTTAGATGGGTGGATGGATGGATGTTTGTTAGAGTTTTTAGCCTAACTGCCGAAGGGATTTCGATGAAATTTGGTATAGATGTAGAGGATAGTCTGGAAGAACACATAGGCTACTCACTTTTTTTTTAAATTTCACGCAGACGGAGTCGCTGGCGAAAGCTATTAATATTATAAATGCAAATGTTTAGATGCATGGATGGATGTTTATTAGAGTTTGTAGCCAAAACAGCTGAACGGACCATCAGGAAATTCGGCACAGATGTAGAGCATAGTCTAGAAGAACACATAGGCTACTTTTTATCCCGGAAATAGTTACGGTTCCCTTGGGATTCACAATATTATAAAAGCGAAAGTTTAGATGGATGGACGGATCGTTAGATGTTAGAGTTTGTAGCATAAACGGGTAAACAATCTCGATCATATTAGCATAGATGTAGAGGTAAGCCTGGAAGAACACATAGGCTACCTGGTCATGTTTATTTATTTCACGCGTACGAAGTCGCGGGCGATAGCTAGTAAAGACATAAATAAGTGTTATTTTAAATAGTTTTAGGGTATTATAGAACTAATGTATAACGAATGTAAAGTGAGATTAAAAATATTTTTGTGAGTAGAGGTTAGAATTCTATTTAGGAACATAAAATAAAATATGACTATTCATTAACAGAGGTAATTAATAATAAAGGTATATTTTGAAAAACATATTTTAAAATTCTATACAAAAACGTATCGAAACTATTATAAATATTTGAAATTTTGAACAGTATTTACCTTCGCCATTATTGTGATTATCTTTTCGATTGACGCAAAGACATTCTGACTTAATTTTATATGGTTTGTGTAGCCCATTATCCACATACACGATCTTTATTGTCCGGATATGGAAAAACGTAACTTTTATTACTACACAAAAGTTAAAATGTTATCTTTTTACTACTCATTAGCACTTTACGTGTTTAAAGGATATTTCATATTAATAAGGGTCGAATACCCTAATTTACCATGTATTTATATATTTCCTAAATTACTCAATTATGTTCTAAATAACCAAATTATTAATACAATTATAAATTGAATAAGGATACATTTATATTCAATTAATTCTGGGTTTCTAAAGTCTCCATTTATTTTCTCATTACCTAGTGATTAATTAGAGTTACGTTGACATATGTTTCAAAGGAGTAAAATTCAAGTTACGTAATTCAGAAACGCATTTAATGAAGTTATCGAACCATAAATATTAACGAATGGTTAAACGAAGCTGGGAAACCGACCATAGAGGAAACATTACATATGAATCCGCCGAAACGACAGCTGTCTATAGACATCCGCAATTGCAGATGCGTTGTCTACCCTTAATTGACAGAAGAGACGCAAATAAACAGGATACTTCCCCATCGTGTGCATCTCCTCCGCTGTCAAATCCACTTTTCCTTCCCATCCTTTCCTCTTAAGAAAAGGGTACAAAGGAAACACCTTCACCACACTCATCAGTCTGTACGCGGAATTGCTCCTACTTCACGCATTCGTGTTAAGATGTTACAGGGGGGTCTACCATTGTTAAATTATTTACTTGACATAATTGAGGAAATTATCGAAACAATAGTAATTTGCTTTCGAATTAATTTGTTAAACATATTAACGTGTAAGTAGTATAAAAGGAGCCTAACCAGTTCTTACAACGCAATTTGAATTCCTTATCGGCTACCATGAAGTTCAAGGTAGGCTTTTGAGATCTATATTTTCCACATAACAATTTGGAAAACTGTTAACGTTAGATCTACTGTCAAAATCAGAGTCGGCAATCTGTTTACTAAGCTAGATTGTTAGACTTATGAAAAACATAAACGAGTTTTGTCTTGAACTCCCATACATACATCTGTAGGGGTAGGTACGGGGTAAATACTAAGGGTGATTAGATAGTAGTCAACCACGCTGACTTAGTCCGTGTTCGTTGACCTAAAACACAAATTTGATTTTTCTTAGCGATAATTGGAGATTGTATCACGTTTAGTATCATATAAAGCATAAAAAGGAGCCAATATTGCTACTAATAATGTTATAAATTTTCAGATAGTATATTGTGTAATATTATTCATATTGAACTGTTTGTTGACCAAAGCAACCCATGATGTTAATTCAAAAGATTCAACATATCGGACAACAAAAGAACCAGAAACATTTTCGGATACACGACAGGCGGCAGAAACAAAGAACGCAAAATCTAATGGTAATTGTCTCTAATTTTTTTTTGTTACATATTTATATACTAAAAGAAGGTTCATCAGTTTGTTGAATAAAATGTTGGATTAAGCATTAAACATTTTATCATGATGTTAATTTGGAACTCTTTAGTAATGACTGTGGATTTACACCGGTAGAGGTAGGCCTAGAAAGAGATGCATGGGTTTTATGAAAGGTGACATTATCAAGAAGGGAGTAACAAAGGAGATGAAAAAGGATAGATTACCAAATCTTGTTGCGCCGACCCTACTGGAGAATAGGGATGGGAAGTTGATGACAATGATTTTGCACATAATAATGTAAGTGCCTATTAATTGTAGGATTATATTTCCTTCACAGGTCACAAACACCATTGTAAACACTAATAAGATAAACAGTCTTTTATGCTTTGGAAAATAGTTATTAGAAGAAAGGGACATTTTATTCGTACAATTAGATTTTTTAAATAAATCTTAGTAATATCCCATTTTTTTAATTTTCACGTCATAAATATACATTTGATTCCACCACTAAAAATTTAATAATTCAAGAACTAAAAAACTGTAAGAAAGTTCTTGAATAAAGATGTAACAAGTGATAAAGACTGGAAAAGGATATCACAAAGGTAATTTATTGTTATCAGTAAGTGACAAAATTAAACAAGCTTAAATAAGTCGATGTAAATAAATCTTGTTTTAAAAAGATAACTTACACATTACCGCTTAATTTAAATGTTTTTAAATGCACTTAACATCCGAAACTTAACATTATTGAACCCTGCTTCTACTTTCTGCCTTTCAGCGCGCTTCTCTTTTGTGCTCTGTACACTAAAATTTACAACAACGCCTGCGTGTAAAGTAATACAGATAATCTTAACGCAAAATTG